GTGTGTGTGTGAGATTAAAATAGCCCAATTGCTTTTACAATAAATAAACATTGAATGTGTTTAATTGAATAGTAAAGGGGTTTAACGTTAGTGGCAGGTTGTGTGTGAGAGAGAATAAATAAGACAGCCCAATATTTAAAAAAATTGTTATTCTTTTCCCCCGCATATTTAGCAACTTTCCTAACTTCCCGCAATTTCACCGCATAAAATCACATAAAACCCCGCATGTTTAATCGCATAATCAAGGATTTTAGCCCGCATAATCAAGGAATTTAGCCCGCATAATTAAGGATTTTTGCCCGCGTTTTTCTGGAGGGTCTAATTAACAACTACTATACAGTCCCTTTAAATAGCTTATCACTATTTTAATTAATGTAGCCTTAAATATTTACAGTTTGCCAATCTTGCTTGTATTCAAGTGTGCTTTTTTTTTTGGGTACTTTTCCACAAATATTGCATTTTTTTTTTTTGTGTTCCAAAAAACGCACTTCCCATTCAAGACACCACACTTGTTATGTTGACAGAACCAGTTTGGCATTGTTTTGAAGGCACTAAATGAAATAAAAACTGAAAAACAAAACAATGATAGACTGAATTTCAAAGTTTATTCACAATTTATACACTCTCTTCGTCCCCCCCCCCACATAAGAAGTTCCTCTTCAGTTGATCCATCAGTGCCTAACTTTAGAGCATCACTGTTCAAACCTTTCTTTGATGTATCTGAAGGTTCAGATACACAATACCGAGTTTTAGCACTTAAAGTAAAATCACACCATTGATCTCCCAAGACGGGTCACATACAGACGCTATTGCGGACAAGAATGATGGCCTGTCAAAGTGAGTACACTGGTACTTCAAAAATGTCCATCTTAATAAAGAAACAAGTAAAAACTGTCATCTGAAGACATGCTTTAGATTTTGAATGATATCTTAGTAAGATTTTCACATTAAGACTACAGTATGCAGCATACTGCTTATGAATATGTAACGTATACATTCGTGTATATGAAGTAGTTTATAAGTTACTGTATGTAGAACAAGAGAGCTAGCTAGATCCCGCCGAAGGACTGTTCCAATGTCCAGGATGCTTGGAATTCTACCGAGGCCGGCGTCCTTCGTTGCGGGAAATTTCGACGCTGCACATGTGTGTCCTCCGCAGTCTTAAAATCCCCACAATGCTTTGCGAATGGACCAATTTCCAAAATCTTTGGCGGAACATTTTAAGCAGGGCCTCTCATATAACGCACACCTGTTAGCCTGTTCCGACCATTCTTCGTTTTCCGAGGCTAGGAAGGATTCTTGCCTCGCTTCTGAAGGACCTGACTCGGAAGACATGTCCTACCAAGGAAGCGTCCTCGACATTGAGAAACACCCACTCTCTTACATCTGTTGCAGCTCCATGTCTCCATGTCTCTTTGTACTTAAATACATCATTTTACTTTTCATATATTGTTTTTTTTATATTTATTGTTGCTGTGTGTTTGGTTTCGTTTGTGATTATGTTTTGAAAGGTGATTTATAAACCAAATCTATAACTATGTATGCTCTATACACCGTTTCCTATTAAAAAACTTCAGTCTCTTACATCTGCTGCAGCTCCATGTCTTCTCCTCTGTAGCAGGACCGGAGGACGGTCTGTCGCTCGGCGTCCCACAGGTTCTCCTTCAGGAAGTTAGCAGCCTGAGCCGCTCTCTCCAGCAGAGCCTTGTCCTCCAGGACAGCTCCAACACAGGAGTAGGCCGACAGCATCAGACCTGAGAGGAGGAGGAGGAGNGTTTTGACATTAACTAGACCCTCCAGAAAAACGCGATTCTGCGATCGCAGAATTTACCGCATAATCAGCCAAATGGCGCAGATTTTTTATGCGGCTTTTTAAAAAATCTGCGCCATTTGGCTGATTATGCGGTAAATTCTGCGATCGCAGAATCGCGTTTTTCTGGAGGGTCTAGTTAATGTCAAAACAATAACATGACAAGTCAGAGAAAGTGGTGGAAGAAGTTGGTCATAAGTGGGACTCGACTTAAAATGTGTATGCAAAAAAAAGTTCCTAAAAAAAATGTATCATGTAATTGTTGACGATATATTTTTGTTCATGATTTATTAAAATGAAAAGTAAATAAAAGTAATCAATCAAATGTAATGATGTATAAAGTACATTATTTGACAGTTTTAAAGTAGCAGGATTTACTAAACACCTAATTAAAGTACCTGAGTAAATGTACTTCTTAGTCACATTGCAGCTCTGGAAAAATGAGACATCCTGCTCAGAGTGTATTTTAAAACTTTAACACAATCCTGCACATTCTTCTGTGGTGCTGCCACTTCTGGCCAGAGCCCACTGGTTGCAATACTGGTCAGCTATTTTCAATAGGAGATGATTATCTTCTTCCATAGGCTTCGTTCTGAGGTTTCCTTCTGCACCAACCAGCGTGTGGATAAACACCACCAGAAAAACCACATGCAGACTCATTCCTACCTCTAAGTAGGCTTATATAAAACGTACATGAGAACAAACAAAAAAAACATTCAAAAACAGAAGCAGCGGTTCAGACTAAATTCTATTTTGTATGTGTTTACTTGCACATCAGTCACTGTTTTTTAAAATGGTTATTTCCCAGCTTACACAAATTGTACATTACGGTAGAATTGTTTTTTTGCAATTCAGAACAAGTTGTACATCATGGTATATGCAATGTTTGTTTTCTGAGATTCTGTACTGGTAGAGCTTTACACTAAGAGCAGGAGATCCAATGGCTCCTACAATAATGTGCACTATAATGGGCTCTGGAGAAAAGGTACTCGCATATTAAAAAGCACAAAACCGTCTACTCAGGATTGTTATTGTTTTATTAATATTTGTATTGTTATTTCATAGCTTATTTTCCTATGTTAAGAGCAGCCACACAAAACAGCGCCTTACAGGAATAGATAGTAGAAGCTGTTTTAAACTCAATAAGATAAGAGGAATCGGACAAAGTGTGCGGTGGATATGCTGCAATCTCAGGGGAACACAAAACTCTCAGGGGGTAGGTTGGAGAAGAGTTTAATGAGAAACACTGCTGATTCTGTGTTTAGAAAAAGATGGGAGAATAAGAATTTCATCTGAGAAAAAAAAATAAAAAAACGTCATCCTATAATGGTGATAACACTTCTGATGGAATTCACTATGGGGCAAATAATAAATACACATCATTTTGAGATGCTTCTCATTGAGTATTTACATTTTTGTGCCACTCTTATACTAGTGCATTTCAGAAGGAACCTTGGTAATGTTTACCCCCTCTTTTCAAGCTGTAAAAACCATGCATTTTACATAAACACAGTATTGAATGGAAGACTACTTACTATTTTTACATAAGTAAATGAAATGGACTGTACAGTAAGAAAAAGTTGTCATTGTTTTTGTTTGGTTTGACTGTATACCCATAAACATTAAGGTTACTCATGGTAGGCCTACGCTACAATTAGTTGTCACTCATGTCTCACAATGGGACCTTTCTCTCTATGTGGAAATGAGAAAAAAGCAATGTTATACATAGCTAAACCCCCTGGTCTTTTACAGACATCTCTTGTTATTTCTCAATTGACAAAATGGCTTTCCACGCTCCTCACTGAATTTAGTCTGCCATGTGTGACTTCCACACACGTTACTTTGTGGTTGTGCAGTCTGATTGTGTTTATATTTGGGAAAGAAATGACAGGGTACCCAGCATGGTTGTGAGCTAGAACTGCCTTTTAAAAACAAGCAGGAACTTGAAGGCTTTGGGAGGCTCCTTTACATGAGCGCACTTCCAGACATTTCTTTCTAAATGAGATGTACTCAGCAGACATAGGAACATTTCTGAAAACTATACTGTGTGCAGAGAAGAAACTGTTCTATAAGATGAAATTGGCATCATTTGGTTCTTCTTTATGTGGGAGAGGTTGTACTTTTTATGACATATCACCATGATGAACACGAGCATTACTGTAAACAGTTTGTGGTCCCTGCCTCCTCAAGACAGCTGATGGAGCCTCCTCCTCCTCCTCCTCCTCTTCCCATATATGTTTTGTTTAGTCCGTTTTTTTCGCAACGTGAATTTCTTGCTCGGCCAATAAATAGCAGGAGGGACTGTCAGCTCGAGCAGTCAATCTCTCCTCCTCTTACACTCAGCATCAGTCTCACACCATGTGGACCCAGGTCAGCGCTCTGCTGCTCCCGCTCGCCTGCTGCCTTTGGTCAGCCGAGGCTCAGACTGCGAACAGACAAAGCATCTGGAACAACCCCATTCAATTCCAGACCAAGGCCAAGGACCAGTGCACCATGACCATCACGGGTCAGGGGGATTACACACGGCTGAGGCTGATGTGCCAGAGCCGGCAGCGCTCCTACTGGTGCGAGTACGTTGGACAGCCTCACACCTGCGGCAGCTACAACAAGAACCCTCGCCACTACTTCGTGCAGATGATGTGGGGCCTCAGAAAGCTGCACAACGCCTGCCTGGGGCCGAGGCAGATCAAACCCCACATGTGCAGGAAGGCAGGCGATGAGTCTCAAATGGTCTTCTCAACCGGTTCCTTCTCCAGAACATCGCCGGAGGCTCCGACGAGGGCAAAACCAGCCGCACAGCCTGCCGGACCTCAACCTCAGCCAACAAGACCCGATTCTGCAAGGCAACCCAAAGCAAAGCCCACAGCGAGAACCAATTCACAACCTCTGACGCCACCTGTGGAGAGCAACGCTAAGAGGCTGGCTCAGCAGTACTGCTGGAGGTCGCTTCGAGGCATCTGCTCCTACTTTATTGGCTTGGTTCGGAAAAACTGAGGAAGGTAAGCAGCATTAGTCCGGGTCCCTTCAATAACCCAAACTTATATTATGTTGTTTTTTGACTAAAGAGAGAATACTTTCATTTTTTTATATTCAAAAATTGCCTCCAGAATGATTTTTTCTTTTTTCTCTTGCTTAACACACTACTGATCCAAATAATGTACAACTGAAAGCATCAAATGATTGTAATTTTATATGCATTTCTCCCATCTGTTACATTCACAGATTTATAATGAAGATAACTTCAACTGTCTGATTATACCAGCCATCATGGAGGGAAAACCCGAGCAGCAGTCTGGTAGAAATTGTGGAAGAACTGTAGCGCCCTCTCCAGAGCAAGAGACGGTACTGCTGTGACCGTCTGAAGCAGGATTTCTGTGAACCTTGAATGCATCATCTTACAGATGTCACTGCTTGGAAAGACTCTACTACCGGTCTTGATTGGGTAAAAAAAAAAAAAGTTGTTTATGGTTGTATATGATAAGTATGAAATGTAAAGTTTGACTTGTGAGAAGGTTTCTCCTGCTGCAAAAACATTCTCAACAACACATTTGCCTTACTGGTTTCACTCATTAGTTTTTAAGCTGTTTACCTATGCGTATAATCTACGTGCATCACTTAATATTATATTGTTGGGAAAGAGCAGAGGTCTGATAAGATAGTGATTTTTGTACTGTTGTATTTGAGGGAATATATAATGAATGTGAAAATAACTTTATTAAATAAATAAATATTATGATCCATTATTCTGTGTTGATCAACTTTTTTTCTTGCTTATTTGATGAAAAATGTGTGAGATTTGATAGCAAAAGAGTGTCAATATCGAAAACAGCTGCTATACACTGTATGTGATATATATTATAAATACAAATATCATAAAGTCTTAAAGGTCCCATGTCATGGCCATTTCTACTGATCATAATTCCATTGTTGAGGTCTACTAGAATAGATTTATATTGTGCAACTTTCCAAACTCACATTGGTTTCTCAATACAGCATCTCTGTATAGTATGTGTATTCACTCTCTGTCCTAAACGGCTTGTTGGAGCTCCTGAGGCCTTAGTTTTGATTTCAAATTACACAACATCATGTATGTGTTGCTTCTTTGGAGCTTGTTTTCATAGACCTGGTTGCTTATTTCTGTGATCGGGTGATCGGAGCCGATCACGTGATTTTCAAAAGATCGGAAGAAAAAAATCGGGGATCGGGATTTTTATTTTTTATAAATACTTTTTTTTATTGAATGTTACAAAACAAAAATGACCATGTTCAAGTCTTAACGTCATCCTGAGGCCTTAGTTTTGATTTCAAATTACACAACATCATGTATGTGTTGCTTCTTTGGGGCTTGTTTTCATAGACCTGGTTGCTTATTTCTGTCAAATCTGGCAACAGAGTGGGCAGGGCGCAGTGTCTAATTGTAGCAGTAAGCTAACGAGTACTGAAAGCTTTATTTAGTTTTGATCCAATGCTGCACAACTGAACTGATCCAATGCTGCTGTGAAAAAAAGAAGCTATATCCATGTTGGATAGAATATCACATTTAAAAAAAGAACCTTAAGGGACAACTTGAATGCTTTTTTTTCTCTTAATGCATTGCATAAAGTTCGGATCGGGGAAAATCGGTATCGGCAAATTGTCAAAATCAAATGATCGGGAGCAAAAAAAGGTGATCGGGACATCCCTAAGCGAAACCCAGCCTGAAACACACACACACCCGCAGCCTGGCTGGGAGTTTGTGTGTGTGCCCAGGCTGAGTTCCGCGTGTCTCGCCGACCCCACACCAGTGAGCCAGCTCACAGTGTCCCGCTCCTCGCAGCAGCGAGCCTCGCAACATCCCGCCGAGTGTGTGTGTGTGACGCAGTCCGAGGATTGGTCCAAACGTAACGGCCACAAGATGTACTTGCTTACGTCACTATACCCGAAATACGTCACTATACCCAAGAAGTAAACAATGCAAAAAGAGAAGTCTCCAACGAGGCGCTCTGGGGCAGCATAGACAGGTCTTCTCTGTGTTACGACGGCTACAGGGTGTACTTTGAGGGTTTGTGACTCTGCAGACCGTTTACATGCAGAAAAACCTTCATAACACACAAGGGGACGGGTAATAACCGGTAATAACCAGAAAAGCATGACATGGGACCTTTAAAAGATCTTCATCCTCATCACCACATTGCAACACCACATTTGAGCATTAGATGTCGCTGTTGCTTCAGTTAAACTGATCACTAAGTTCAATCAGTGATTTTCTCCTACAGAAAACATCTGGCTCTTTCAAGATATTTCCAGTATTAATCTTTAGTAAACTGTTCTAACAGATGGTGGAGTTACAGTTTGAAAAGACTCAGAGTTCATTTGCATTTGCTTGCCTTAAAAGTGAAGTTATCGTGAAAGCAGCTGAGACTTCTTAAAGCAGGCAGCACAATCTACAATAACAGATCATTTTAAGTCTTGAAATCTCACATAACGCCGGTAGGTGTCTCCAAAAGTTTTAAGTCTCGAATTTGCTCGATGAAGAACGAAGACAGACAGAAATTAGATGTCAAAGTGCATTAAACAGTGAGGACATTAAATACAGTTTGGTTGCAAAGCAGGATCTGATTTAGTGCTTCTTGTAAAGTGACTTTACCAGAACAATTTCCATTATTTGATTAAATCAACATGTTACAAATCTGCATAAGAAGCTTTGGTAATGGTTTGGGGTAACACAGTCCTTACAAGCTTTATCAGAATAGCAGGATATCTCTAAGGACCACCCTTTCATTAGATGACTGAACTCAAGCCGTCCAATCATGCATTGTGTGTGAAGGGGAGGGCTGATTCTGCAACAGTTCACTGTGGCTGCAGGTACATTAAGCAGAGGAGACTCTCAGCTCTCAGGTGTTGGAACTTTAAACTCAAGTTTACTCTGAAAACTTCAGGTAAGTTTAGCAATCACTGTTTTTATCGTAGCTCACTCTGTAATGATTACTAATCTCTTTGGATTTATAGTATTAGGATTTATAGTGCGTGCTTGTTCTTATAACACTCCTACGGTGAGTTAAAATGCTCTATATGCTACAATACAAATCCATTTCTCATTACAATCACTATAAACGGTGTGTTGGTGCACTAAGAGTAGTTGTAGTATTGACTTTCTAAACAATCACTAAATTCATGTCACATGTTGTTCAGATTGTTTCACCCTAAAAAATCAAGGATTCAATCTCTTTATTCATTTATATTTCTTGCACTGATACCTTTCATTCCAATTATTATTCAAATGTATTCCTTAATAGCTTCTTTTTGTTTTCCATTTTATTTGTATCCAAAATCCAATATGAGACTTATATTGCTTCATGTTTTTATTATGTTTTTCCCAATGCATTTCATTGTCTTAAATTGCCTTTTAAATTGCCTAAAAAGATGATATTCTAGAACAAAACTTTGGATGGAAAACTAGTTATTTCCGTGTAACAAAAGGGTCTAATAGAGGATTATAAAGATTATTATTAAGAAAGGGAAAGTAAGGGATTGTGGTCATATCTAAATCCTAATGTATCCTCTTGCAGGATTGTGTGTGCTGCTTTCATGGCTCTCCTCACCAATGTCGCCATCCTGCTGGTCCTGGCTTGTATTTCCCATCAGCTGATGTTGAGCAGCTGCCAGAAAAGCCATGGACGGCGGGGAAGAGAAACAGAGCGAGGACAACACAAGGAGAAGCTGAAGGTCAGCCGCCAAACTAAATCTGTCTCTGCACAGCCCATCAAGGGAAAACTGGTGACCAAAGACAAGTCTGAGTGCACCTGGGCAGCAACGGGTGAGGAGGTCTTCATCCTCGGTGTCAGCTGCAAGAAGGGGGGCCGGAGCTTCAGCTGTGAATATGTCGCCAATCCGACCGTCTGTCCAGAGTACGTTTCAAATGTCAAACTTTACTGGAAGCAGATCGCCCGGTCGCTCAAGAAGCAGAAGACTCTGTGCAAGGACAGTAGTACATTGATCAGGACAGGTTTGTGCAAACGAGCTCCCCGAGAGGCTCATTTCAGAATCCATAACACCCCGGGGAAGACTGACAAGCCATCAGACCGACAGCCTGAACCCCAAGCTGTGAAATCCTGTCAGCCCCGTCACAAGAAGCTGGCGGAAGAGCACTGCAACGACTCCTGGTCGAGTTTCTGCACATTCTTCTTCACTATGGTACAGGATATTGATTGCTGAGAAAGTGAGGACCTCAAATAGATTCAGCTATGCAATCACGTTAAGACCTGTCTCTATTAAACATTCTTTATAGATAATTGCTGCTTGTATAGACATATTTCTCCACATGTTGTTAATGTTGATTCTACACATCAATAAACACTTTTCTATCTATTCTCTAATGTTTGTTCTGGGATCTGGTCAATTTGGGTGAAATCTACAGTTCTGATTACTATTGCAAGTTTTGTTTCGAAACATCAGATGTGTATGCAATTTCATTTGAAAGGAATGTATGTTCCATCATACCAACTGTATCCTTCATTCAAAAATTGTCTTAGTCAAGAGAGCCTCATCTTGTCCTTTTCAGCGGGAACAATTAGAGCAAATTACAAAACAATGCTTTTCTGAGCCTCTCTGAGGTTTAATGCTCGTCTTTGTTTTTAAACCGTAGTAAAGTGAACATCTTTGGTCTTAGACAAACCATTTCCTGACAATTGAAGACCAAACTATTAATCAAATAATCTAGAAAATAGTTTAATGAACACTGAGATGATCTCTAGGTGATACCTTTATATAATTACATACAAATAAATGTGTTTCCCAGCATAGCCATTTCATTTCAACTCTGCGTCTATCCAAGCTCTTGTCTCTGTTTTCCAAATGTGTGTGCAGAGTCCTGCTGAACGTACTTGTGGGAGATTAGAAGTTTGAGCATGTTGGGTATTTACACAGTAATTTAACCAGAGGGAGTGAGATTTTTTAGAAAGCCGTGGCCTGCATACTTTGGCACTGACAAGCCTCTGAATTCACACACGCTCAACTTGCAAAATCAAGTTCAAAGGGCAGCAGGTTCTTGGATTAGATCATGATAATAACAATAGAGATTTGGCAAATCCAACTCAAGAGACATTATTTTTGGCAATTATAACAGGAACATTATACATTTCCACTGCATTTTACATTTGAGAAAAAATCTTTCCTAAAATTGCAGTAGCAACCAAATCTATTAAGAGTATCAAAAGTAATAGTACTTATAATGCAGCGTGGCTACTGTCAGCATCATTATATTATATAACCGGATCAGTATTATCAATTCAATAATATGTAAGCAGCAGTACTTAAATGTTTCTGCATTAGTCAAATGTTAATAACTATGCTACGTTAAAGCCTTGGTAGTTTATTTTGTAACAATGGATTCTGCCTATTCATGTGTGACTTAAATCTTATTTTTACCATCAGACTTGTTTGTGACCTAAGGGTTACTTCGAAAAAGGTGAATTAGCAATACTCTCTTGTCCCTTAATTTGAGTTAGCCTTCAGAATGAAATGTATCCCATTAGTCTTATTTCTATCATTGGTGGGGAAAATGAGGGCAAGAAACAACAAGAAAAAAAAGTCCTGAAGTTAAAAGAACAAAATGTGATATCATATCTCGCTAAATCATGGACAAGTGTCAGTACAAATGTTCACTTCAGAGATCACAGAGAGACATTTTTAGGGAAGAGGCTGACATGCTTTCTCTACCCACAGCTCCAACAGACCAGAACAGAGCAGCCTCGGGGACGTGCTGTGATTTTTGAAAGGGGAATGACTCATTATTCTTGATGATTTTAGCTTCATCCATCATAATGCACTACCAACAGCCGAAATCCATCAAAATCCAAAGACTCTCAGCAGGTTGCATTCTGGGCCATGTATACAATCCCTTAATGGGGACATGAGGCAGCAATGTGGCTGCACCCAAAAGTAAATTAGGTGGCAGTCATAAAATATATGCAGGAATGCGAGGAGGTAAAGGAATGAGTTTTCTTTTCAAGCATGACTGAGCAGCAGCTGCAACTGAAAACACCAGACTTTGATTCTGTGGGTCAGCTTGTGAAATGTGAGGCAAAGCAGACAATTAGTAAATACAAATCCCATGAAAAAGACAGAAAAACCCCTATTAGTTATTGTTATTTTAACAGCTATAAATGGATTAAACAACAGGACTGAAGTCAGTGTTCAAATCTATTGAAATCATTTCACATTAGGGGCCAACTGTCCTTTTCAAACGCAAGCAAACCGAGAAAAAACTATATTATTAGGGTTGTTAATGGGAATAAAAATGTACTAAATACATTTAATATGCAATCATTTGAATGCCTCGGACCAATTTCAGTGACACTTGAATGACCAGCTATCCCTCTGTCCACATTCTGCATGCCTCAGTAAGTGGATAAAAAGGAGTACTGTAGAGCCGATGAATGGGAGTCGGAGGCGGCGTGTTGAATATGGAACTCCACACTTTATTTTCCATTTAAGTTTACAGCAGGGCAGAATACTTTGCATACACGCTACTCAAGCTAGAATGATAACAACCACCCGGTACACTCTCTAACAGGTCCGTGGTGCAACACACACTTTATCACAGTGAATTATGTCCCGTAATGTTCTACCACAGTACAAAGTATATTGTTTTGTTTTTTATTTAGTGCAGTAGAAGCATAATATAGAAATACTTAAGAGGTCCCATGTCATGCTTTTCCGGTTATTACCCGTCCCCTTTTGTGTTATGAAGGTTTTTCTGCATGTAAACGGTCNATGATGAAGCCTAATGAGAAGATGAACCCTTTTGCGAACCAATTGTCTGGAAAGCTTCAAAGTTTCATAAGGCTTCATCTCGCCATCACTAGTGATGAGGTCTTTGGGTTAGCTNGTTTGTGCCTCTGCAGACCGTTTACATGCAGAAAAACCTTCATAACACAAAAGGGGACGGGTAATAACCGGAAAAGATACTTAAGAGGTCCCATGTCATGCTTTTCCGGTTATTACCCGTCCCCTTTTGTGTTATGAAGGTTTTTCTGCATGTAAACGGTCTGCAGAGGCACAAACCCTCAAAGTACACCCTGTAGCGTGTACAACTCTAACACAGAAAAGACCTGTCTGTGCTGCCCCAGAACGCCTCGTTGGAGATTTCTCTTTTTCTTCCTGGGTACAGTGACGTGCCCATACCCAAATGGACCCATTGGTCCAAATGGACCAATCCGTGGAGCCGTTTTGTTACGTCCGCTAGTGGCCCAACAAGCCGTTTAGGACAGAGAGTGAATACATGCTACAGAGATGCTGAGAAACCAATGTGAGTTTGGAAAATTGCACAATATAAGTCTATTTTAGTAGACCTCAACAATGAAATTATGATCAGTAGAAATGGCCATGACATGGGACCTTATGGACAAAGTTCAAGTATCTCATGATAGCCCTTAAGCACACTACTTGAGTTAATAAACTTGATTACATTTTAACCACACTTTACCACAGATGAAAATTCGAATGAGCACTCCGCTGTCTCACTGAACTGCTCCATTTCATTTGAATGCGTCTCCAATGTGGAAGAAAGGTCATTTTTACCGCGTTGTCCTTCTGTTTTCATATTTGGTAATCCTCTCGGTGTCCGAGGTCTTGAAAGTGTTTTTCTTGAATAAAACACACAGGAAGCAATGCTAATGCTATGTTAGCCTCACATGCAAGCTAGCAGTTAGCCACTTCGTCCTGGAGAAACACTACACGTTAAATCTAGTTCTTTTTATCAGGAGTTTGGTTCATAAAGGACAAATTCCAACGGCAGGGTTTGATTTAAAATGTATTTTAAAATAGACTTAAAAACATGGGTTGTAGAACATAATCCAACTCGTAGTTTTGGTGACCGCCGTCATTATCCGCTTTAAAAGAAATTCCAACGTCAGGCCTGCTATGAGAAGTAACAACAGTCCTCGTCAACAGCCAATCAGAATTCAGCAGAGCACCAGGCAGTCACTCTGCGCATGCGCAACACTGAGCGTACATTCGTTGTGAACGTAGCGACCTGTCAAGCTAATTTAAAACACAATTTAAAAAGCTAACTTTAAAAGCTATTAGTCTAATTTATAAAAAGATGAATAACTGTAGCATTCTATAAGTATGTATGTCTTTCTAAGTGGCTGTGTGCCACTAAAACTAATTGTACTGCTGCCAACAGGTGGCAAAGCATGGTTACTGTTTTGAGATTTATCAGTGTTTATAAAATCCTCAAAACTATTAAAGTTACAATGCAGGTGCAGCAACTGCAGGTTATGAAGGTGAACATGTTAAGAAACAATTATAACTAAACAAATGTAGATATGTTATCCTAAAATGTGTGTATCTAAAATACCTGGTAAAAATTGTATTGTGTCTTTTTTGTTTTTCTTACTAAAGAAGGGACAATTCACGTTGATTAACATGAGCAGCTGTTCCTGTTTCAATTCCAAAGAGCACTCAAGAGTACCAGCAATCATAAAAAGCCCTCTGTGAATAATTGAAGTATCCAACATGTAATTGTTACTTCTATATCCCAGTTTGCACAGAGCGCGTTAGCTATTTTTTCAAATGTTGCAATTTATGCCACTAAAAACCTCTCCATGCCCTATTTTCTGGTCAAAGCATCCTTCCTCTGGTGATGTTGGTGGCCTGACCGCCTGTGGCTCCTGATTGGCTGAGAAAGGTGGGCCTTGGTCAACACAATCCGGCACTACTGACATTAAGGAGATTTGTATGTGTGTACAACCAAGCTTACTATGAATGCTTTGTAAGAGAGTGAAAGGGCATTTGGTTCATAAAGAGCTTTACTCTCTTTGGAGCCAAGATTACAAACTGAAGAGAATTAATGAAACACCACAAATGTTAGGCTACATTGTTAGCGTGACGTGAGACTGATAAGCGTGTGAAGCTGGTGGCTGGTATAGTCCAAGCAACCACAAGAGAAGAGAGCAGAAAATCACCTCAAACTCTTTGAAGAAGCAAATGTTTAACATCATTAGTTCTATAATGAGTAGAAGAAGCAATCGCCTTTGTTTGCTTTTTTTGTCTATATGTTGCAAAGTTGTGGAGCAATATCCCCAAACTGGCAAAGGCAACTCAAAATGTATTTAAAGTATATACCTTTAAACACATTTTAGATGAAAATAGTCCACAGAGGCCAACTACAGTCCAGGATTGAAGGGACCGTTTGACTTTAGTTTTGTCTTTTGTAGTTTACAAAGTCATAAAACATTTCTTAACTCAGTAATAGGGATACTACTTCATCTTTATCTTCTATTTGAGAATGAAATGTGACTCTGGAGGCTGGATTACAGCATCTTCCTGCAGTGGAAATGAGCACAAAGTGATTTATGACAGACAGCTGCTGGCCACATAAACCCTGAGTCACCCTCATCGATTAAACAACTGCACCAACAAGCAATATTGCAGATTTATTATAGGGATTTTGAATTACAGCACCGTTGAGATCCCGACTATTGCTCCCGCTGAAAGCTATAATATAACATCAAGTAATATCCGTTTTTATTATTTTTTGATTCAATAAAAAGATAGCAATTTCTGCAGGAAGCAATAAACACTTTATTCACTGTTATTGGTTCTGATCAAGTTGCTCATTAAGAATGACTGAAATGTGTCCAATCAGGGAGCATTAAAAACAGGAATGGCTTGACTCAGCAGGTTAAGCTTTCAATTACAGGACTGCTATCAGCACCCAACAGCCACTACTGCACTTCACCATATGCTTGCATAAATGTCACATACATAAATTAAAACTTAAATATTCTATATTTTTTCCTGTATCAATGTTTTTTTAAGACTAATTAATGTTAACATATATCTGTCTCCTTTTTTAGATGGATTGCAGTTTGGTTTAAATACATTTCAGAATACTTGTTTGTTGATTTTGCCATATACATGCATTCATTGCAAAACATCATTCTCATGTTGTGCCTCATAATGAAATAAAAACACACAAGCTTAGCTGCAATAAAAAGCTCCTTACCAGAATGCCTATAACTACAGAGTAAAGGTAACATCATTTTGCAGTAAGATTTGAGGGAATACATGTCTGCAAAAGGGCACATGAGCCTCTAAGGGAAAACATGTCAACACATGAAAACATTTTCCAAATTGAACCTTCAGGTGGTTTTTGAATACGGAGCACAACGTCTGGCAGGCAGAGATTTAATGAACATAATGAGAGGCTTATAAATCACAGAGAGACATCTATAAATACCCATGCAGGTTAATTTTTCTGACATAGGCCTGTGTTTAAGGTGCTGTTTACACTGGAACGAAACTGTTGTATCCGCTATACTTTTCTCCTTCGTATAGCCCGTTCGTTTACACGAGGCCGTAACGGAACCGCGGAAACGGACCCCTAAATCGATAACTGGTCTCAAAGTGGATAGATCTGCGGACGGAATACTCTGGGGGGCCAAACGGATCCGTCTGTACGTCTTATACGATAATTTTCCTGATATAGATGAAGCCATAGCCCCGCCTCTCCCCACCTCTGCTGCTCACTGCTGTAGCATGGTCAGTAGCTACCATGCTACAGATGTTAGTGCGAAATCTACAGCTCCTCTACCACAACCATCAGCAACAAGTGGACATGGAGAACTACATGTTGCTAAATCCACCGCGGAGAATAAACAGAAGGGCAACCGGGCAACTATGCTCTGGGGTCTTCTTCTGTGCTTTTGGTGTATTTTGTGGCGGAAGTACAGCGCCACTTACAGGCCCGGCATATGTACTACAGCGTCTCCAGCGGTCTCGTGTGAACCTTTATATATACACAGTCTATGGTGTGAACGGACACGTTTATTTAGCCGACTGCGTGTGAACGGAATACTTTTTTGATATCAAATTCGGTTTGTTTGCGTTCCCGTGTAAATGGGGCCCTAAGTCATTATAAGGATAAAACCACCAAGCCTAGATTTCCATATTCTTTAAGAGCGTGGCAGGTAAATAGATACTTTGTTGTCACTCACTTAAGAATCACCCTGTTTTGATCATGGAAACTGATGTATTATGCATCCCAGTAGAGTCAGAGATTAAATAGCTTCTTATTTAATGTCTTAAAACTAAGAAGTCCTGTTAGGACAATTACTTCTGAAACTCAGAACTTTATTTGAAATTGCAGCTCCAATTGAAAGGTTTCCAAAAGGAAAAATTTGAAAGTTACCCCTTTTTTTTAAAATTTGTTTGTATTACTTTGGTTACTGTCTTTCTTCTATATAAAAAGTATTAAAATGTGTTTTTCGAAATGGCAGAACGTGACATTGAGAGACATACAAAAACAAATTCAATTAGGTGGTATTAAAGTCTTTTAGTCCCTGTGAATGAAGTTAAATTCAGACTTTGCTGCCACCCTGTGGTTCAACTCCAACTAAATCTATTGATCGAAAGACCCAATTTGTTTGACATCGAGCCTTTTCATGCAGAAAGACATCGAGGCAGTGGATGTCTTTATATGGGTCAACAAATATCCAAAAGTGTCATTATTTATTGATCACTGACAGCGATATTGCAATCCGAGTCAGCAGTTCATTTGTAATTAATGAAGGCAGGAGAGCTTTGGAAATGTCCTGTTTAATACTTTAGCATCAGTATTGTGTTTTGTAAGCTGCATTTTACACACGCTGTGAGTATTACAAACAACTGTGTACATTTTTATTCAAAACAGGAGGAAGTGTTGAGAAAATATTATTGACTACATTCAAAACAAAGCCTGTACACGACATTGAGCTGTTTTCTTTCTTCTGTTGTCAAACCAAAAGCAAATAAGACTTTAACTGCAGTTCATGAAGATGTACGTTTATTGTCATAATTCAAAAACGTCAAGGAGGTAATTCACACTAATTCAATCAATAGCAAGCCAAAGTCAGAAAGAATCAACAACTCCAGATCAATAACCTCATCACATGTGCATCTTTGTCCCGCAGCAGCAGTTCATCATTCAGTGCTGCTAGACTATAGAACACCATTAATCATTCCCACCACAGAGGTACAGTAGAGCCTTCTGGTAGTCCCCATCTGTGTCCTCCTGCAAAACAACACTACATTATTATCAGCGATGGCAAAAGTACACACATCCTTTACTCAAGTAGAAGTACAGATACTTGTGTTTAAAAAAAAGTACTGACTAAACTTCTTTACTCAAGTAAAAGTAAAGAAGTATGGGCTTCGAAATGTACTTAAGTAAAAAGTACCCATAACTACCAGCTGTTTTAAAGAGTACCTGACCTCCTTTATATTAATAGAACAATAATGTCATTGTTAGCTAATGAATGTTTCGATGCTGAACAACGGCAACGTTTTCATTGGTCCCTCTTCTTTAGAAAAGACCAGGGGCCTCATTTATAACGCCTTGCGTAGGATTCACGTGGGAAGGTTGCTTACGTAGTAGAAATCCAAAAAATAGGTACAGAAATGTTGCGACATTTTCCGATTAACCAAACACTGCTTACCGGGGAGGAAAGTGCGTACGGCACTTCCTACGCCGGTTTCCCTTTATAAATCACAATCGACTCGAAATGCGGTGCAGCTTTTGCGGGCTTCACGTAACGCCCATATTTGCCTATAAATAGTCAAAGAAACGCCCTTTCATTCATTCATTTTGACTGACTGCATGGAGAAGATCGCAGGAAATGTCGACAGAACAGCTAAAAAAGACATCCCACACCGCGTCAGATTTTGGTTATTTTGGGGAGGTCGAGATAATTCATATTGTTTGGTGGATGCAGTTTGAACCAGAGTAGCAGCAGGGAGGTCGGATCGTCACCAAAATAAATAAGTGGTCCGAAAAAGGTTAATGACAAAAAAAATACACATAGCCTTCCTCAGGCAGTGTGTTTGTACCGGGGACAGGAGACCCCCCCCTTGATGAGAAACTGTAAGAAATGATCGGGGAATCCCTCCGGAGTGGAGTCATGACGACTGGATCTGAATTATGTTTTTGTATTTGGTGGTTTGTGTCCCAGCTGTCGATCAGCTGGGCGCAGCATACTGCAGCCTGTGCATCTCAACCCC